AGTCCTGGTATAACTATATGCAAAGGTATTTATTTATTTATTTATTTATTTATTTATTTATTTATTAATTAAAACATTTTTATGCCGCCCCATTCGCCGAAGCCTCAGGGCGGCTTACAACAATATTTAGTCAAGCTAACTTCTTGAAATGGAATCCACTGTTTGCTTGGGGGTCTGAAGAGCTTGCTGAGATTCTTTCGGGCATCCTATTTCATATGAATTTCATTGCAGCCTGACTGTGTCTCAGGGGCTTACACAAAATTTTAGCTACTTGCCTCCAAAGTAATATCCTTTTTCTCCTGCATATTTTTGCTTGCAGCTGCCCAATATACTGTAAATTATACCTGTGTTTTTCTCGTGTTGGTATTGTAAGGAAATTTGGGCACAACTGTGTGAGAAAGCAGCGCACACTAAATAACAATGGGTACTTTTCTGCCTTAGTCTGGCTGCTGCAACCACCCAAAATCAGAGGAGCAGAGGTATCCAGTTGAGGGTGGGGAGAAAACAGAGGTGAGGGTCGTGACGGCGATTTCAGCCACCTCTTGCTTTTGCCTCTGAACATGAGGAGGGGGGACCCCTCGTGCCGCCACAGGATTCTCAGTTCTGTCCTGCTTCACTCGGTCTCCACCTGCAACTCCGGAGGTGCAGCCGCATGGAAAGGACTGCACTGACCGAGCGCTGCAGGGAGGATGCTTTGCTGTCAGAAGACATTCCTAAAATCAGAACTGAAGATCGGTTGATGCCATGGCCATCTAGAATGCACCTAGCCACCATCAAGCCCGACTCCCCCGTGGTCCTTTGCACCTGCATTTTGCATCCTCGTGGTTCTGTGAGTGGATTTTGAGCACCGTCTTCTTCTTTATATGCATAGCAGATGAGAATTCTGCTCGGCGTTTGTGCCTTGGGCCCACGTTATTGGTTTGCTTTTTTGACCAGCTATGTATTTTACTCGTATCTTGTATTTCTACCAAAAAAAAAAAAAAAAAAGGCACTGACTAGCGGCTTCTAGTGACTGTTTCATTACTGGTTTGAAGCGTCTGTGTGTCCCAGGAGCAGGGCATTCTCAGCAGGGAACCCCATTTTGTGGAATCCACTCCCTCCTCCCTAATGCATGCATTCCATTGTTATGAATTTAAAAAAATGGAGACTTTATTTCAGTCTGTATTTTATTAATTGCTAAATAAGGATTTTTCATTCTGCTCATTTTAGAAGTATAACTTAAAATAATAATTTTTATATTTGTATAGTAACAGTTTTCAAACGACCCAATGATCTCTGTATTGTCTATACACATACCTTGAGCCTTGAGAAACATGTTAATGATCCATAAACAAATGAATACATATTGCAACTTCATTTGCATGGAGCAGTTATGTTTCTTAAAAAATAATAGCTTGGCATTTGTTTCGTGGTCTTGCCAGCTGATGTCCTGGCACGTAATTGGTTAGTGGGAGCATGATTATGTAATTCCTACTATCAAGCTATCAATATCCCACACCCTTTCACCCTAAAGGAAAGGATGGATGGGGAGCAGAAGGCAAGTGAGTGGCCCTCAAATGTGGTATTCTCAGAACGAGCACGACGTGGCCCCTTTAGTCATTCCAGAGCTGAGAGGTGTGAGCAGAACTTTTTCTGCTCCATGGATCTCCTCCGCCAGGCCAAGAAGCATGTGTTCCCCAGATGTGGCCCAAATGCAGACACTGCCACTTGTACCGTACTGCTTTAATTCAGACACAGCCAGTTCGGTTCCAGCACAGAACGGTCCTTCTTCTCCCCCTCTCCCTATTTCTTCCAGCTCTCAGTTCCCCATTTTGTTCTTGACAGATACTCTTTACATGGAAATGTAAGTGTTTCACTGGCTGGTTGCTCATTAGATATATAAAACTGCTGGCACACCAAATATTTCGTGACAGGGACACAAAAATGCACAGATATCCACACTCATGCACAGTTGCCACGAAGATGTATTGATTGGTTTGATCTGTAACCTGCCTTCGCACCAAAATACGGCACTTGAGGCAGCTTACAAAAATGATTTAAAATAGCTCTAACAAATGAGCACAATATAATACATTACAGGGATTTTTGGTGTGGCCATTATGAAAAGGCAGGGTATGTTCATCTCAAATAGGTCATCTGTATACCTCAGTTCTTGAAATGGAATGCATTAAGGCTCATACCTTCACCATTTTCAAAGTGGGAGCCACTTTGGCTCCAGAAATGACACCAAAGTCTCTTAAGTACATTAGTTTACTTGATGGAAACTAATTTGTGGTTAAATGGAAAGATTTGTGTCCGTGGTGGGGAAAGAATTGGCCCAGGGGACACAGGCCGTCTAATTTGTCAGATTTCCTGGCAACACCTTGTCAGTTTGAAAACTGTGAAGACTTTTGTTAGCTGTCCTGATCAACTTCTTTAGATCAATTTTTCTTTTAGTTTTATTCTGAGGACTCCGGGCAGGTAGCCAAAGCAAGACCTAAGCAATCAGAATAAAATGTATGCAAGTTCACAGCCATTTCCACTGACCCTTTAAAGGCTCCTCCCACCAGCTAAATATCTGTTTGTAGTTCTCAAATCCTTGGGGTACCTCAGGCTTGTTCGTCTCTCCCTCTTGTGCACAGACAGTGCTGTTTTCACCGTCTGAAGATCAGAGGCAGAACACTGCAGTGGGTAAAAATGCTGGACTGGGGTATCTTTTCCCATTTAGCCATGAAGCTCATGGATGATTTCGGTCCACTCGCTGACTTACCAACCTCACAAGATTGTGCAAGGATAACATGGAAAGGAACAGGAGGAAGAGTATAACCTTGGTTTCCTTGAATTAAAAGGAGGAACAAAACAAAAAAACAACACAACACAGGAAGTGTAAACACAGTGCTGGAGGGGAGCTTTGTGAATACCCTGGACTGATAGAAAGGCAAGCAGTTCAGTCCAAGAAATGAAGCCAAAGCTTTCCCTGGAAGCAAAAAAATGGCAAATCTGAGGCTGTCACATTCTGGGCCCATCACAGCTTGGGGAAGATAATTCTGCCAGGAGAACGTGGAGGCAAAAGAAACTGGAAGGATTCCGTGAGGGAAGCCACAGCCTCCATTTTGCAAGAGCTAAACAGGGCTGCCATGGGTGGGATATCTCATTCCTGCTGTCGTCCTAAGCCAGAGACAACGTGACAGAGCACGACGACAAAAGGTTTCTCTAGCTCCACAGCCAAAAAAGGTTTCAAAAAAGACCCCCAGTGCCAAAACTAAAGCAGCAGATCCGTGTCTGTCGAGAACCCAACGCATGCATGCAGTCCTGTCCGAATATCCAGAAAGCCAGTGCAGAAAACTGGTTAGTGTTGGTCTTGCACACAGAAGACCTCAGAGCTGCGTGACTTTGCCCGGCCGATTTTGCAGGGCTGTTGTGGGGATTATACAGAGTGGAGGGGGGCCACTTGGGTTTCTTGCAAGAGGAAAGAGCATAGGGTATAGAAGTAACAAATGAAATGGAAAAATAAATAAGGCATTCAAAGAATGAGCTGGCTATTGAGACTGATTACTCCAGGGTGCTAAGCTGGCAGCTGGCTCTGCCTTACCCCATGCAATTCCTCTGATCCAGCTTTGATCTCATCACTGCCAGGCTCTACGTTCTACTAAGGAAAGAAAAGTTGTGTGAAGACCAGAAAAAACACCGACTTTCTATTTCCGTGGCACATTCAAGAAGAGCATAATATTGCTGAAATAGATTTCTTTATTTCTGAAACTTTCCAGATCAGTTGAATACAAGTTGTAATCAAGTATTAAAACCATATTCCATAGTAAGAAAGCATTGGTTAGTGCAACTGGAGGCTTTTTTGTTTTTTTGTAAAAGGTCTATCAAAAAAGTTTTGCTTCCGTGAAAACTCATTCATTTTCACCGTACATAATGGCTCATAAACAATGCAATTTTATTCTTTGTAATAAAGTATCCAAACCCGACTGTTTAAAAGATCACTGCACTTTTTCAGTGCAATGCAATTGATGCCCTCTTTATAAATACAATACCGTCATGATAAAAAAATTGATACTGGAACAAGGAGGTGAGAGAACAAGGTTCATGTTGACCCAAAGGCATGGCAGTTTAGGAAATGCTTGCTTAGGGTGTGTTATCACAGCACAAACATACAACATAGCTCTCATACTGCCACGATGGTCCTAAAACGCGACTGAAAGCCATGCCACCCCCAAACTCTAACCATTGGTTGGCACTATCACTCATATCACTGCAGCTAGAACTGGACTGGAGTTTTTAGCATCAGAAGTCACCCATAAGTCCTCTTACTTCTACAGATATGCATGTCTGCCAGCTTCCATAGGCAGATGGGCCTAGCTGGTCTGGGGGAAGATATGCTGAAGATGTATTTAGGTGCCTAAAATATTAGCGTGCCTTGGGGATATTAGCTAAAAGGGGAAAATAAAGACTTATGGCACACGTTCAAAGTACTTCCAATACTCTATGATTCAAGCAAATGTAAAAAAAAATGTGTTAAGTGCAAAGAATCTGCCTCCTTCGAAAGTCTATAAAAGAAATATGGAAGCAGGTCTTATGGGAATCTATTTTGTAAAGTTGCAGGAGAACTCATTAAAATGAGAGAGAGAGAGAGAGAGAGAGAGAGAGAGAGAGAGAGAGAGAGAGAGAGAGAGAGAGAGAGAGAGAGAGATTGAGATTAAAAATTCAAACATTTCATTAGGACAAAGCATTCAGAAGTCACATTTGGCTCCCCAAGTGTGGTCCTTCAGGTACTTTGCGCATGTTTCAAAGAACTCTAAAGAAGACTGCTGCGACATTAATTTGACAACACGGCTGCCCCTCCCGCCACCCCCAGCAATCAGCTAAGTGCAACATGTTTAGTGACCAATGGTAAGGACAGAAGAGGAAGAAACGGCGCCATGTTACCCATCCACCCTTCCACAGTTAGTTACCCAGCCAGCTGGGTAGGAAGGTCTGCATTGTTTCTTGAATGTGGTGCCAGCCAACAGCCAAAGTCAATAGCAGCCGTCTCTCCAGTTGCCGTCCCGCAGAGCACTAAGCGAGGAAAGAGGTTTCGGTGGCTGGAGAAAACTGTTGCAAGAAACAAGCCAGATGTCAGGCAAGGTCAGAAGGTGATGCTAATTGAGCTGAAGGCAGAGCATGGTGTAGACACAGGATTTGGGAGGAATTATGCTCCTTGGGACAGGATGATGCGGCTCACACAACAACAGCCCGTGGGTGAATTGAGGGCTGTTTCCCCCTGAACAAGCAACGCCACCCTGGTTCGCACTGACAACTAGCTAGCACCCACGCGTTGTTAGGCAAATGATGCCTGGAACATTCTGTGGCTGGTCCACAAACCAGTGACGGCCAGACCAAGGTGTATCTACTCCCCACTGCAGCATTTTGTTCACACAGTAGTCAATCAGCCACTATGCAACAGGACCCTCCTGCCATATTCCTCAGCAACTGGCACGCACAGGTATATTCCCTCTGATACTGAACCTAGCAAATAGCCATCTGGATCAGTTGCCATCGATAGATGGGCCTCTCCTCCGTGAAGGTGTCCAAGCAAGCTGTCCAATGTGGTGGCCATCACTGTACCTTATGGAAGTGAGTATCATAGTGCAGCTGTTTGCTGTGTGAAGAAGCGATTTCCCCACCCATCAGCTTAATGGGATGAGCTCAGGCTGCAGCATTATGAGAGCACAAAATACCTTTCTAGCTACGTAGCTTCTCTATGCCATGCATATTTCTTAAAAAGATGGGAAGAATCTCACAGTTGAGCAAGGCTGAAGGGCCAGCAATTTCCATGCCAGCTGACTTATTTCTATGCAAGTCCATCTGCACCGAGCACTAACCCTGCCTCCCCTGTGTGAACAGCTACTTAATTTGCACCTTTCCTGCTCTGCACCTGGAGGCAGGTAAGACCAGAGTGCCTGACTGAGTGCACGACTCTCCCCCATTATAAGAATCAAAGCAAATAAAAAAATCCTCCTGCAAAGAGTAAAAAAGTTATTAGGAAAAGTCTGCAGACCTGCGGGGTTTCCAGGTACATGGATACATTCTTTTTCGTAGGAGAAAACAAAACTATGCACTGTCCACTTGCAGTCTGAAATGGGGCAATTCAGTGACGGTTTTCTTATACAAGGGATCATGTACGTCTAGTTCAGGTCTCCATGTGCCTGTGAAAGGAAGGGCTCTGCCCAGGCATCTCCTGTATTCACGCCGGCAAAGGTGGAGATGACTACAAGAGTTCTTTGTTGACAGCTTCCCAGGGAGAAAACTGCCAACTTGTCTCTGGTGCAGCAGAGGGGGATGGCCCATGGACCAAGGGCCTTTGTGGAGAGCCAGGAAGCCACCGGGCACTAGAAGAAGCCTCTGGGCCAACGCAAAAATACGAGTAACAATGCCCACAGTACCAAAGAACAGAACTCACAATTGCAAATTCTAAATTCCATGGGCTGCACATGCCATACGCAAATTCTGGAAAGACGCCGACCCCACTCCACCTCAGCCCTGCAATGAACTGATCGATGCGGATTATCACTGCATGCAGCCCCCTTGCTCAGGAGCAATTTTTTCTGAGGAAAAGAAACCAGCCCTTCAGAGCAGGCAACGCACTGGGTCCACCTGCAATCTCTGCAAGGCTCTGTCATCTCTGCAAAGCCGCAAAAGAAGCATCGACTATTCAATAATAATGTTAAAAGTACAAGAGGAAGAGGAGGGAAAGGAGGAGATCACACATCCATCCTTCTCTGTGACAAATGCTTAAATGTCTCCTTCTGATGCTTCCTCAAACACGGAACAATCAGCCTTATGGCCATCATTTGTTCAGTTCTGGAATAGGCCCAAATATTTACTTGAGTCAGCCTTCTTTAACTGGTTGCCCTCCAGATGTTTTGGACTACATCCCCATAATTCCTGACCATTAGCCATGCTAGCTGGTGCTGATGGGAACTGGGGTCCAAATTTCTAGAGGTCAACTGGGTTGGGAAGATTGATTTAATCAGAGTCTTCCCTAGCCCAGCTCGGATAGCAGGGCATTTAGGAGATGCTCCTCGTACAATGGGAAACGGAAGCAGAGCCGGATTTAGGGGCAAGCAGCACAGGCTGCCTTGGGCACTGGGCCTGTGGAGGGTGGGCATTATCACAGACTGCCCACACAAGAGCTGAAGCAGACCAGCGCAAGCTGCTCATCTTCCTGGCAATGTGGCAGCCAGGGTCACTGCTGTGCTAAAATTTCAAGGAAATGTATCCTAGTGGTGTCTGTTAAAGGACGCAAGTGGTCAAAAAGATCAGAGTGTCTCTGTGTGAGTTTATACAAAACAAGGTGTCCAGAATGGAGCAGGTATAGGAAAGGGCACAATAAATGCACCTGGTTGGAATTCATGTGGCCAAGAGCTGGCTCTAAAGAAAAGTTTATATTTTTAGATATAGATTCCGAGCTAAAAATTGCACATACAGAGCAGGGAGAGCAGACCACTCAGCAGCTCCCTAGCAAATATATGCGTCCTTCAGAACATATACTAGTCTCTTGCAGAACGTTCTTAGCATGTGCATACTCCAGCCAAAATTTCTGAGATGCTGCTGAGACAGAAAGGGCTTTCTGTTCTTAGGAGCTGCAAAGGTCCAGGTGTTCCAAATTCTCTTTCCAGAGCAGCCTTTCCCAGCTAGATGGCCTCCACATTTTCTGGGCTTCGGTTCCCATCAGCTTCAGTCAGCATGGATCATAGTCAGGAATTTTGAGGGCTGCAATCCTAACTGAGCTGAGGAAGGCTTTCTTGGGGGATTATACGAGTTCAGTGTCAGTTGACATGCTTTGCCAGGTTCAACACCCATATTTCCAGTTAAACGGTCCAAGTTTGCAGATTTCAAGACTGCACTCTAGGGCACACTGTCCAAGGTAGAACAGCAGAAAACAGAACATTTAATTTTCATCTTTGGGCTACTATTGAAAGAAAGATTTAGTGAATTTCCCTGATCAAGCTAAACCATTGTGACTGAATCTGGGCACACGGCTGAGCACTTTGAGTCCTCCTGAAGCGACGCTATTTTTGAGCAGCCCAAGGGGATGCAGGAGCACAGCCTTTGGATTTCACCTTTAATTACAGGAATCTAATATTCAGCAACACTTCATTACCAATCTATCAACACAATTAAAATGGCCGTCGAGTTATTAAATGACTCTTGGCTTAATAAAACTGATCGCTTAATCAAGGTTCTCTCCAAGGGGAAAAAATCAGAGTGCAGGCGCCACAGTGTGCCAGCGGCACGATTAAAAGGATTCAGACCCGTGCGCAGGAATGGAGACGTACCAAAGCAGGCAGAGCCCATCAGCCGTGAGATGCCACGGGTCCATCGAGCCAGCGCAGCTGACTCTAGCCCTTGGCCACCAGGCTTTCCCATCGCCTGCTACACGAAGCTTTTCAAAGGACAATGCCAGGAGTCGGGCTTGCTCTATCATCCACCGGTGAGTGTCCGATCAGTGACAGGCGCCTTACGGTGACCATGAATGGGGGTCCTCCATGAACCCAATGAATCTATCCTGCTGCTGGGAGGGGCTTATTCCTGGCAGACCGCAGGGGAGGGCTGGTTGCAGCCACTTCCTTGCTTTCCTCTTCTGTAAATGCGCTTAAGGTGGATACACGAGAGAGGCTCTGCTCGAGGAGGCAGCCAAATGTTGCTGGGCTCCCTCCTCCATGCAACTCCACACTCACCCTGTTCGGAGAGGGCTGCCGCATGGAGGAGGAGCCCGGGAAGCCTGGGTCCACCACCAGCACGGTGATGCAAGGAGGACCTGGATCCAGCCCAACACTGGAAGGACAGACTAGGCATGCCGCGCATTGCCCAGCACGGCGAGCAGGGGCCGGCGCGAACGGTGGAGCCAAGCGCAGCCCAGCAGCCTGGCCTGGCGGCCTGCCGGGCACACGATGAAGACGCAGCAGGGGGAGCAGCCCCCGGGCCAGCACGCGCGGCATGTTTTCCTCCCCGGAAAGCAGGGTGAGGCATGTCCTGCAAGGGGCCTGCTCGTGCACCAAACTTCTTGCTCCGCTTTGCCTGCAGTAGGTGCCTTCGGGAGGCCAAGTGCAGCACTTTCCCCAGGAGAGGCTGCGGAAGGCTTCCATCACGGGCTCAGCCTGGGGCTCAGACGGTCGTTTCTCAAATGCTGCCTTAACTCACCTGAACCTAAGATGCTTGTGGCTGGCCAGGGATTCATCAAGCAGCTCCTTAAGCTGCTGCTCTGGGTCTGTGGGCTCTGCTTAGCATGAGGGAGACCCAAGAACACCCATGTTGCACCTTCACCATGCAGAGTATCCTGGGGACACCAAGTGGCAAGCAGGCCAGTCCGGTGCGTTTCAATGCCAGGTTGCAGTACAACAAAACGTGGGAACATCAGGTGGGCTGAAGTTGCCCGCTGGGCGTGCTGGCAGTTGCAAGCTTTTTGCTGCCCGAGCTCATCTAGGATCGCAAGCTAGTTGTATTACGTTCACGCACTTAGACCTGGGCCTCTCCAGATGTCGCAGGACCTTAAATCCAGTCATTCCTAACAACTGACCATGCAGAGTGGGGCAGATGGGAGCTTTAGTCCAGCAACAGATGGAGAGGCACCAGGCTTCCTACCACACCCTAAAGCTTATATGCCCACTGCAAACTTAGATTTGCCTTATACCTGGGTGGCAGCTTCCCGTACAAATCTTGGAAAATGTAGTTTGGGGTGGATGTTAAGGATTCTCCCTTAGAACACCCCAAGCCCTCCTCACAGAGCCAAGTGCCCAGGGTCCCCTGGGGAGGGGGTCGCTCGTCAGCCAGCCGTGACGCTTGCGGTGTGGGCACATGCTCGCCTCCTCCTCGGTGGCGTCCGCACTCACCTTCGGATCGGCTGTGCAATTTTGCTCCTGGGAATGCTGCTCCCACCGAGAGCCAGGGAGGGCCGAGGGAGGCCACTGCGAGCGGCGATGCCCGTGCTGGCGGCCTTGCTTGACACCGGGATGCCCGTGCTCAGGTGGAGCTGTAAGGTGCTGCCGGACAAGGGGATGCTGCTGCTGCTGCTGCTGCTGCTGCTGCTGCTGCTGCTCCCCTGAACGGTCGGGCTCACGTAGGCCGTGGCTTTGAGAGGCTGCCGGACGGAAATGGGGAAGTGCCCCACACTGTGGACGCGGTGCTGCAGCTGCCCCGGAGAAGGAACTGGGGAGGCAGAGTGGAAGATACCAGAAGGGTTACACAGCCCTGCAGGGCCAAAGAGTCATGCACTTCGATTCACGCGCTCGGTGCCGCCAGCGAAGTCAGCCGACGCACAGCAAAGCCAGCCTGAAAAACCATCCTGAGCCCTGGAACTCGTTCAGGTCTCCCACTGATGCTTCTGCAGGACACCTCATACTCTGCCCTTCTTCCAGGTTACTCCTTCCCCCAAACCCCTGTGGGTGAGACTAGTCTAAAAGTAAGGATGGAGGAGAAATTCATTCCGTTCACCTTTTCAGGTGAATTTGCCCTCATTTCTTGCTTTCAAACCTTGGTGCGACCAAAGCTCTATTATCCTTGAAACTGCACCACCTGAATGTTGCATCCCTGAGTTCTCCAATCGAACACTGAGTGCAGAACTGATGTACCAAAATGCACACTTCAGGGAAAACAAGTTGGAAAACAAGTTGTATTAGGAGAAGCAGCTTGAAACAATCTGCTTGCTGGGAAAAAATGGATGCACTGGAAGGTGTGTGAACAGGTAGATGCACAAGAACTTTCATGAGAAATTGTTTTTGCTGCTTTTAAGTCTCAAACTGATGTGGAAACAGGGCAAAATGAATTCAAGACTGGGAAAAGGAGACACTGAGATCCGAACTAAGCATTTCTTAGCTTTCTCTACTCTCCTGTAAGTATGTGTGGCCCTGATTCAGATCAAGACCACGGAGCTCCCACCCCCACCACAACTATCTTCCTTCCCCACAATTCCTTCCTACCCACAATTCAAGTGGGTAAAAAAAGCATCATCAGAGTCTATGCAGGGTTGTTATCTTCTTCGTCTTCTTTTTACCTGGCACCGCTTTGCAAGATTGGGGGAATTGCATGAAAGATCTGTCACTCCTGCGGCACCATAGTTCTGATCCAAATCAGAGCTCACAAAATTACCAGAGAGTAAAGAAAGCTAGCACCATCGCTCTACCAATCCAACAAAAGTTTTGTCTGCCCTTGAGATAAGCCCAGATGGATAAGATTTGCCCATCCGTAGCCTATGGATGGTCAGGTCTCCACCAGAATTGGACCAAAGGGCAACAAGAATGCTCCTCAGGGTTATTTATTTGCATGACTGATGGTCTCCCTACAAAGAATCCAGGAATGGTAATCTGCTAAGAGTTCTTCAGTTCCTTAGGTCTACCTGGAGGACTAACATGCAGTTGATTCACCTGATGAAAAGAACTGTAGTCCTCAAAAGCTTATTTATTCATTGAAACCATTTGTATCCCATCCTTCAGCTGAACAAGCTCTCAGAATGGCTCAGACATACTCAGTAAAAACAAGAAAACCCTACTTTGGTGGGGAAAGAATGAGTCCTCAAGAAAGACGTTGGTCTTTAAAGCTGTCACAAGCATTTCTGTTGTTTTCCCTTCACTTTCCTGGGAAGAGGAAACTTTAATTTGATCCCTTTTATATTTATGATGTATATACATCCTAGTAGTAATCATATTTCCCTCCAAGATCTCTGCTTTCTTTCTGGCTGGTTCCTGTGGGCCAGAGTAATTTTTGCTAGAATTTTAAGTCAGGCTGATAATGGCTCTTGACAACCTTCAAAAAGATTGCTTAGTTAGAACACCGCCATTCATGAAATGCGAAATTATATCGGGAACCACATGCTTCACCGCTAAAACAATGACGGCAGACATTTGGTGGCATCTTTTAAATATGGCATGGTTCAGCCTGCCTCTAAGAATCCACGCTAAAGCGCCCAAGGCTTCTTCGGCTCTGCTGCACAGCAGCACTGCTTTTTATTGTATGGCATAAAGTTGATAGGTAAAGCATAGCAAGGCCTCAAGACCTTGAACTGTACACTTGGTTCAAAAAAGGAAGGGGAAGGAGAAGGGGAAGGGAGTTTGAAAGCTTTCTTCCTGCAAAAGGGGAAACAATGCCAAAAACTAAAAATAAATAAGAAATGGAAGTATCAACTCTATGATATCCAGCTGAAAAAGAAACAGTCTCAAGGCCCCCTGTTTTCCCTAATGTATTTTAACACTGGATTGGATTCAGACGTGGGTATACACAACTGGGCTGGTGCAGGTGGGCTTCCACAGACCCTCCCCCCAAAAGCAACTCCTTCAGCTTCCTGAAACTCTAACTAGAGGCTTCAGGCATGGGAGATAACCCTTCTGAGGGGCGAGAGTGGCTGCCATGGGGGCGAGGAAGATCCACCTCCCTGCTGCTCCCTCAACAAACCCTTTCCACAGGCACCGTGCATAATCATGTTTGGATGCCACCACCACCAGCACCCTCCTCCATGTTATCACTTCCCCAACCTTTGGTTCCCAGATATTGTTGAACCACAGCCCCATCATCCCCAGTCACTGCCCATGCTGGAAGGCAATGATGAGGTGGTAGTCCAGCATCATCTGGATGCTCTGAAGTCTTCAAAAAGCTTTCTGTCCCACTGCGAACTAGAAAGATTTCACGCTTACTGCAAGACTGTATCCTTGACATCCCATTACCGGCGCCATGCAAATTGGAATCAAAGCTGAGGCTGTTCCTCACGGTGATCGCAGAGCCAGCCGTGGGGCTGATGGTGGGGGTGCTTGGCATTCGAGCCAAGTTCGGCATGCTCCTTCGGAGTTTGTCTGCAGCAAAAGGAAACCACGCCGTTACTGGGAGAAGCCTGCAGCTGAGCAAAGGCTGCCCAACACCTGTCCAGATACGCCTTCCCAGAACGGGTCAAAGGACCACGGAATGGAGCACTCAGGTTTTCAGTAGCAAACGCTTCTCAGAAAAACCTGGAGCAAAGGAACACAGGTCTAATTATCCCAGTATATGATATTCAAAAGGTCCACCCCTGGAACTGGGATCTATAAGAAGGTAAGTGAGGGAGGAATTATTTCAGTGTCAAAGGAAGATTCCAGACACCCTAACTGGGGAAGTAATGTTTGCTGGAAAACTCCCAAGACGCGGGTTACCAAATATGCTCCAGAACGGTGGAGCTTACTCTGGTGAGGAGCCAGTGCATGTCAATTTCATCCCAGCATCCTTTGTTTTTTATTTACAATTAAGGATGGATGCTTGTTTCTTCTTGTGCCACTCCAGTTACAAGGGTAAGGCCTATTGACTAGCACCATGCTCCCGCAGATGTTACTCACACTGAAAGCCTGTGCCATTTGCCCAGGTCATGTGGCTCTGAAATTCAAAGCCACTGAAGGAATTCAGAACCAGGCCATCAGTGGCTCTAAATTTTGTGTTTGGAAAGGGCTTGGCAACTACCAGTTAGAAAGCAGAGTTCAGCCTAGCTCACGGTTAGCGCAGTCCGCAGTCTTACTCGGCTCATCGTTAGCTCACCTCGGTGCCAGCAGTCCTCGGTCTCCCTTACTTCCGGTTTTCGCCGCCCTGCCCTTCCCCAGGCTTGCCTTGTGAGGGGAATAGTGTCCAATGGAAATGCTGCAACGTGGACTCCATGCTTGCAGCAACTTAACTTTGGCAGTGAAAACACGGCAAGGCAGCCTACACAACGGCCGACCAAGACAAATGCACCCTGCCGGTCAAACACTGATGCCAGGGCCAGGTCCAAGGTTCCGGGGGCCCTTGGGCAAGACAGCCTCCATGGGCCCCCTCAATCGGTGGGTCCACCTTCCCCCCTCCCTCTCACCAGCTGCTCTTGCTCCTCACCCTCTTTCTCCTCATCGCTCCCACCTGCTTGCCAGACAGGTAGTCACTGATCAAGTGGGCAGTGGCATCTCCTCTTCCCCCTTCTCACCACCTCCCTTATTTGGGCTAGAGTGAGACGCCAGTGCAGAGTCAGGCTGCAATGGTAAAGCAGAGCAGCTCTGATCATGGGGCCTCTGCTGGGATGCAAACACCCAGCAGTTGTCCCACCGTGCCTGCACTGATGCCAGTGCTCACGGGGGCTTCTGGGTGTCTCATTTCACAGCTCCAAGCCAACGCTGCAAACACGAATACGGATCCATCGCAGACGGTTGGTGTGCTCTCCCGTTTGGTGGGCTGCTAGCCATAAGCCAAGGGGACGCACCTTTTGTGCGTCGATCAGCGATACTCTCTAAGACCCTCCTACAGTTGCCAATCTGTAGCTGGCTTTCCACCACGCGCAGGCTTGTCTTACCCTGACGTAAGCTATGTGCCTGGGCTGTGCAACCGCAAAGCTGTGCACACTATAAATATGCATGCGATTTTAAATCACAGCACGTTTGCTTTCCCAAGAGAAGTTGACAACCTTTGTCTCCGCTGTCAAGCATTTCAGTGCCAACTACAGCAGAGTGCCAGGAAGCAGTCCGTGCTGCTCAAGAGAAATGGTTCCTAGGAGGTTCAGCAGATTTGGCTCGATTTATTTAGGCTAGGAAAAACCAAATGAGCCGATGGGGTGCGGAACTGATTAGCAAAGGAAGAGAAGCTATGAGAGCACCGTGAAGCCTCCATGGGCAAAGACCCTGAATTTCTGAGCACTACATGATGGGGCCAAACACAAAAGCAATGCCACTGTTTTCATGTTCCACTTGAGCACCTCTGGCAGCCTCTGGCTGACTGCTAATGCCAAGCCAGCCCTGGCACAAAGCCGGTGAAGGATGAAGCCAGGAAAATGTGTTGGGATCGTGCGGCAAGTCTGTTCAATGGGCTGAACCAAGCAGGAGGAGGACACGGCCGGCAGCCAAGTATTTTGGGTCAGCACTGGCCACCAGAAAGAGAATGCTGGAGCAAATGAACATTGAAAGGGGGGCAGTGAGAAGCACGGGGTAATGGCAAGGCGAGAGAGGAAAAACAGCTTCCAGAACGTGGACACTTCTATTCCAGATTTATCCAACACAACAACAAAATATTCAAAGCCATTCTTGCTGACCAATCACAGTTTCATGTTGCCTTGTTTTAAAGGGATTGTTTCTATTTGTTTATCTGTTTTAGCTTTCACCACTCAACAATATGCCTAGATATGGGGCATTGTATTTGTTATTTGTGTTTACTTATAATAAGTTCAGAGACATTCCTGTACTCCAGGATAACCCTGTAAATTATCATGGTTATCATTCATTGTTATCACCATATATAGAAAAATATATAGAGCACTTTAGGGTGTTAAATGTACTTTGCATATATGATCACAAGTATCTTCAGATTAGTTTGTATCACAGGATCCCAATAATAATAATAATAATAATAATAATAATAATAATAATAATTTGTTTCATGTGTACTGCATACAAAAGCATTTCTTTAATAAGGATAGTCTACTTCAGTTATTTTCTGACAGCTCAATACAGCTACTGCTTTGTTCAAATGTATGTTTGTCAATGCCCAGAAGTTGCTTCTTTCTGAGTTAGAGATTCCTTCTTGCTGCTCTGTGCCATCGGGGTGTCTCCAGCTTATGTGGCCCTATGAATAAATGCCCCCCAAAAGGCTTCTCCTTGACAGCCCTGCTCAGTTCTTGTACATTTTATTATTTATTTATTTATTAAAACATTTTTATGCCGCCCCATTCGCCGAAGCCTCGGGGCGGCTTACAACATAGATAAAACAAGTTAAAATCCATATAAAATAATCTTAATTAAAACTCACATTATAAAATAAGCCGCCCTGGCCAGATAAAATTCAATTGTATTTAGCATTTAAAATGTTGCTTAAATAAAAAGGTCTTAGCCTGGCGCCGAAAAACAAATAACGACGGCGCCAGGCGGACCTCTCTGGGGAGCGCATTCCATAACTTAGGCGCCACCGCTGAGAAAGCCCTTCTCCGAGTAGCCACCCTCCTAATTTCTCTCACGGAGGGCTCCCGGAGAAGGGCCTCTCCCGCCGATCTCAGGGGGCGACTGGGCAAATATGGATGTAAGCGCTCCTTCAGGTAACCAGGACCCAAGCCGTTTCAAGGCTGTGGCATCTTCTGTGGAGTCAATCCATCCTGCATGTGGGCTTTCTCCTCTTCCTCTCCCTTCCACTTTCCCTAGCATTATTGTCTTCCCTGGTGAGTCTTGTGTTCTCATGATGTGTCCAAAGTGTGATAGCCTCAACTTTTGCTGCTCCAGGGGGGATCTGAAATGCTTGGCAGAGTAGGAGTGCGAAAGAATAGACAGACATTCCAACACTCTGACAAGTCACAAACAAATTTACAGAGTGTGACATTTCCTGAAATCCTTGCCTTCTCGAGCTGGGCACAAAGTACACCTCATTTTCAGGAAATTTTAGGGAACATTCTGGATTGATTTGATCTGGAACCCACTTGTGATTGGGAAAACAATTGTGTGAATGAACTTGACCCCGATCTCCAGTGAAGCTTCCTTACTCTTGATGATCTTTTCTAGTTCCTTCCTTGCTATCCTTTCAAGTCTCAGCCTTCTTTGAATTCCCTGACCGCAGTCTCCCTTTGAATTGATGACTGAGCCAAGATATGCCAAATTTTTCACAATTTATTAACTGTTGAGCTTCAAAGTTGTGTCATTCTTCCATAATCCTGATTTTTGTTTTCTTAAATATTTTCTCAGTTGCAGTTCTGTGTTGGTGCTTTCTCTTTCCACTTTCATCATCAGGTTATTATACAGATAACTGTTGCACTGGAATAGTCTTTAATATTCACTGTTGTGCATGCTTTTTAAAATTATCCATCTGTTTCATGGAAATTAACAAATGGAAGGAGAAGGGGATTCTCTGTGCCCTTTTGACAACTAAAAGGCTGCTCATTACAAAATTGGAAGGATAAATTTTCACTCCTATAATGCAACATACTGGGGAGCTGCAGTGCTTTTGATCTATGATCAGGTCTGGATGCCAACTTGCTATTTAATCCACTTTCTTGAAGCCTATATATAACAGCTAGAGAGTTGTATGCATTTCAAACAAATTCATCTGCATGTACTGAATAAGGGTTTCTTTTGATGAAGAGATTGGGTGCCTGAGATCAACATGGCAGATTCCTGCCTTCCCACTGGAGTGGTCCAGAAGGGGGACCCTTGCTTTATTGCACACTAACATTTGGGGTTGGTACAGAAGACCTTTCAAGGATTCTGCTCAACCCTTTGATTCTTCCCAGCTCTTCTACAGGGAATGATTTCTGTGATTATGGGTGGTCAAACCTGCTGGAGAGACCTTGCTTGGTCATGTTGTGAGGTCAGCAGATTGCAATCAGTTCAGCTGCTGTTTTTATGAATGGGCCAGAAAGGCGGGGAGATACATCCCCTTGCTTCTCCTTCTCCCACAGAATGTGCTATCAGAAACTGGGTGAGAAGAAACAGCTCAGCTTCACTTTGAAGGCAGTTCCAACCTGTAGCCATTCCAGTGTAAAGGCACAAGAGAAATGTGAATCGAGGACTTGCTGGTTCACATCTCCATCTCCTGGATGCTATCAAACACTTAGCACAGATTAACAACATGTGATCTCAGGGAGATGCTGCCCAATTTCATTTAGTGTGATAAAAAGAGGCTCCAGGTTGGCCATGCCTAACCTACTGTACTTGAATATTGTCTTGAATAAGATCTTGTCAAAAGTTCATTCTATGTACTCGAGCAGACATATGACTACACAATCACAAGGGAATGCTAAACAAAGTCAGCTGATAAGCAGTGTAGACTGAAGGCAGACTCTAAAAATCCTACTAAATTTTAATGTTGATAAGGAAAAAGGACAGCTGAGAAGGTAAAAGATCTCTTGGTAAGGAAAGAAAATGGAATCTCAAAAGTTATAACCTGTGATTTTTGAGAGATTCCATACTGCAGTGTAGCATCTCCAGTTCATAGTGATCGAGGCTTTAAGTCTCCTCATAGTGGAATCCTGGCTCCTCAATGATGCTTGAGGCATTTGATCTTTGAAAACTTTGATGCAAACTGACCTCATTTGCACTTCCCAAACCAGCGTACACATCAGAACATCAATATCCTTAGCAAGTTTACATTTCTTCAAATTTTACATTGCAGTCCTTGGCACCAAAACCACAGCAAAATGCTTTGTTATTTTTTAATTGAAAAATAATGACTTAAATGTGTACTTCAAGACAGATTATGCTTAGAAGGTGCATTTTGTGAGATGATGTGTCAAAAGATAAGTATTTAAATATTATGAATTTGTCTGGGGAGATTCCAGGCTGAGAGGCAGACAAAAGAAATCCAGAGGTATAAAGACACCCACCCCACCTTACCTCCATTAAGCCTGTTTGGTTGCGACTCCAGAGGAATTGGGGCTTGAGTAGGACAGCACTGTTGCTGCTGATAGTTATTCGAGGGGAAATATGGCGAAGTCGGGCTTCTCCTGCAGTCCCGTATGCTGGAGAAAGTCTGCGAATGGGGAATCCCTCTTTGGAACGGGGAGCAACGCGTCAGTCGAGGCTGCGGAGGCGGGAGGTGGTCGAATTCTTCCTCCTCGTCCTCCAGGCTGTAGCGATCGCACTCCTGATCACTGCTTGACCCTTTCTTGCTCGAATGGAGAGACACGCCGGAGCTGTTTCTCGACACGCAGGCTGACGTCGAAGCGTAGTCTTGCCTCAGGCCTGCAGAACGGAGGAGGAGGAGGTCAGCAAGCCAAGGGGACAACCTCTCTAACGCCAGCCTGGCTTTCGCAGCGTGCTATGAAGCCGCTCTGTGAATTCCTCTCATGTCTGCAAGACACACGGCACATGGAACGACAGCACTAGAAAGCTGGCAGGTGCAACTGGGCAGGCGGGAGGCAGAAAAGCCGTGAACCTACAGCTGTATCAGAAATTTACAGTTGAATCAACATAATTCTGCAAAGGATGTCAGTATGGGATAGAGATGCATGGGTTTTGTTATACCATTGTATGTTTCAGGGACCGTCAGAAATTTGTTCCACTGTCCATTTGTGGATGGAATTGGATGTTTTTAAAGGGGTGTACATGACTTGTGTTTCTGTTAGGAAATGCGTGCATGCAGTAATATGTACTTGCAGAAAAACCCCACAAAAGTTTTTAAAAAGTAGTCTGAAGTCAGCAGAATCACGGGGTTCAGAAAAACCCAGTCCACTGCAGAAGCTGCAGGTCAGAGAAACCCTGATTCAGTTGAATTCCCTGGGGATTTCTCCAGCAGCCCTAGCGTGTTTATCCATGCTGTATTTTCAGCAGCTGGCCTTCTCTGCTGTGACACTCAGACTATGGGTTTCAACACTAAGACGCTCTAACTGGTCCCTTCTCTGATTGCTCCCTGCTGCATTATGGAAGACTAGATACACAGCTTCTGGCTGCAAGTGCTAGTCTAGTCGATACCGGTAGCAAGATGTCCTGTGTCAGCAGAAAGTATAAACGTGAGGACAGGGAGAGCACGTGCCCTACCCTGGAGGCTCTGCATCCGATTGAGCAGGCTGGAAAATCAAGGTTCTCAACTGTGTGGAGAACCTCCCGAGATCAAGGAAGGCTCTCTTCAGAAGGTTGCCCTCCATAAGTACAGAACAATCAAAATGCATGAGGATCGGGGGCGGGGGTGCTGGCGGGCTCCCTCTTTCCATGCATTTATGTGCACGGAAATATGTCACCATGCAACATGTATGAGGGCCTTTTGAAATGCTCCTTATGCAGTGTTATTCTCCTCCTTATCTTCCAGCCTCTTCACTCCTGAAATCTCCACCACAGCTCCTGAGTGCCCCACCCACTCCCTGCTCGATGCCACTGGCTGAGTTCTGCTTTTAGAAGTGGAGTCTGTCCTCTGCACAGAAGACTTAATCAGATTCAGGAGCTGGTGCTCGGGGGAAAGAGGGATGCCTCAGAACTGGAATTCAAAGCCCCCTGAAAAGGCTTTTGTTAAATGAAGCGCCTTCACATTTCTCCGGATGGCGTGGACTTCTGCATGGCAAACCCATGGTGCAGATCAGAGAATCTTTCACAATAGGCACTTTCTGCCTCTATGTGCAATTGACCTGCAACCCACTTGACCCCAGATTAGGCTCCCTCTGCACAGTCCATCATCCAGTGCCAAAGATGGCATGCTACTGAACTACAGAAGGCCAGCAATTTGGGAAGGAATGTCCCAATATAAGGGCTCAGATTCTGAACAGAATCATCTGTTAATGCTCCAAAAACTCTCCTCCTCCAACAACTGCATGCAGTTAGGACCAAGCACTTTTCCCCAAGAGTGAAAGCCGCAACAGGCCTTGTTAGAGGAAGGAGAAGGGGAAGCAGGGACAGCCTACTCTCTTCCTGCAGCCGAGCCATGATCTGGACGTCCGTGAGGTCCTGCAGCTTGTACCCCATGGAGATGGAGTCGTCTTCGAGTTCCGAGGTGCTCAGTTCACTGTCGATGGAAGACTGAGGGCTGAGCGGGGAGCTCCTCGACATCCCACCTGTGAAAGAGCCACACAGTGAAGCCCCTTCGCCATGGAAGTGCGGGGCGAGCGCTCGCCTTCCAGAGCAGCACGTCAGGCTCATGCATTCACAACCGAGCTCGCCGCGCCAGCGCCAGCCTGACTCGGCACTTGGTTCTCTCCTTCAGCATCGCTGCGTTCTGTACGGTTTAAAGGGCACCTTTGCCACTGACTCATCAGCAGGCAGCCCCGCTGCATTCTCTGGGGCATCCCTGGGGAAAAGGACGTGCATGACTGCAGCCTATTTAAAAATGCCCTTCTGGTGCTTTGCGGCACGATCCAAGGGGGATCCTGCCGAGTCTCTGGACCGGAGGATCGTGGGCATCCTATGTGCGCTGGAAGGAGGCAGAGGTGACCCTGCCCTGCAAGTCAGCAGGCACGCTGTGGCTGTTTGGACAGGGAGGGAAAGAGACGGGAGCACTGCCAGGATACCTGGTCTCCTGCCCTCCCCACCCACCAGGAAGCCCCTGTTCTCCTTCTCTGTGAGCTAGGTTGGCTCTTTTGGTGCTCTTTTCTCCTCCGGATCTGGAGCTCCAAAGATCGTGATGGCCCCCTAACCCTATCTAGGGGTCACAGGATGGCGCCGCCCATAAATTCAGCATGGAGGAGAATAATGAGAGCAGGCCTGAAAGCGGGATCCCATGCTGCAGCGAGTGAGGAATCCTGCTTCAGGGAGGGAACCTATCTTAGTTCCCTCCCCAGACTCCGAGCCCCTTTTCTCTACCTCAGCTTGGCCTCACACTGAGCGTCCGCATGGGTATTTGGCCAGAACCGGGTCCGAGTGAGTGTGCAAGACCAGCTGGTCTGGCAGTACGGAAAAAGAGAGCTTCAGCTGTGAGGAAGCGTAGCAGTGAAACAGCAGCTGCGCCCCAACGCCCCACGTGCGTGCTAAGCAGGCAGGGTTCTGCTTGGGCACACGTGACTTGAGGGCTTTGCATACTTTGCGCAAGCAATCACAAACTTTGTGCAAGGAAGCCACTAGCGTGGCCGAGCATTCGCAGACTTGCCCTTGGGTCACTTCCTGGCCAGGGCTGAGCCTAGGGAAGACGGCCAGTGAACACGAGAGAGGCGGATCCTGGCTTGATCTTCACATCCCTAATTCCATACATTACAAAACAAAAGAGAAAAGCCTCAATGCGAATTCTGGTATAAGTTTGGAATGCTCAAAAATCATGGCTATTTTTTAAAACAGGACAAGCCAAATTTGAAAGTAGAGGTATGCAAATCAGCAAAATTTGGCTTCATTGAGGTTCTCCAAATTTCCCTTTGGAGTTCATTCCTATTTGTGTCTATATCAGACTGGGAACCCTTTTTCTTTTCATAGAAAATGGGTAAACATTTTCACATGCATTTTTCCCAAGATACCAATCAACTGTGCATGGTTTGAAAATATAAACATTTCTTCCCATTGATTCAAGTGTGCCTGTGCACATTCTCAAAACTGCACATTCTTTTATGCTGATTTTTTAAAATGCACACATTTTTCAAATGCAGCGAACTAGTTACAAATCAGTGTTGACCAAAAATTGAGAGGAACGGAATACAGGCCTGATTACAATGCTGTTAGTAAGAAAGCAAGCATTACCTGTTCTCTCAGGTGTTAATATTGCTTTACTGAAGTTTTTAGAGAAGGCAGGAGTGTTAAAGCCATTGCTATACGGAGTGAGTCTGGCAACAGGGCTATAAGGGAAAGCCAAGGAGACAGACGAAGAGAATAGACTCCGCCATCGACTAGCTGTTAAAGGACACAGAAAAGAAAGATGCAGGTTATATTTCACAACCAAATGCTCTTCTATTAAGATGTAAGTGTTGGGGGACAAGGAGAAATCAAAACAGAAAAGTCTAACAGAGCAATTCTACAAAAGTCTACTCAGAAGTCAGTCTTATTAAGTTCAGAAGGCTTATTCCCAAGTAGCTTGCTGTGCCTGCATAGGAAGGAAATGTCAACTGCTGAAGGCAAGAGAAATAAATAAATAGCTGCTGTTTGGAAACCAAAAGTAAAGAAAGAGGAATGACAATATTTGAATCTGCAGAGGTGGCACAGGGCTAAAGTATATTGCTTCAGATTTCCATCTTCCCATCTAATATGCTGTGATATTGTTCATGTTAGCCACTTCAAGGCTAGCGATACAGGATACGAATACTGGAATTGAAAAATGCAAATGTATGTTTGCACACTTAAGAACATAGGCTGTTATGATTAGGGTCAAAATTATTCCTTGTAAATAGAAGACCTGGAAATGCATAAACAATTTAATATGGACTTGAGCAATTCATATTAAATTTAACATGGATTATCATATTGGAACTATATACATATATATAGTTAGAATGCTTGTGCTAAGCTTACTATAATAAGTTCTAAGTAAGTAATAACAGTAAGTAACTGTAATTTACTATTCCCTGTATTTTGGCAATATTTTGATCTGTTACTCTGGATTATCTTTTTTTTTTTTTCATATGATATGTTAAGAGATAAACCATATCATATGAGGGGTTTTCTGGCTGTTGGTCTTTTTACCAGTAACATTTTAATTCTTTTTGTGTACAGCAATATAAAAAGGAAAGGAAAGGAAATATAACTGGAATTGTTGCCACCACTAAAGGATCTCTTCCACCTCCTAAATGGAACGGGCTAACGGGGTTCGAAGGACTGTCGGGGTGCGGTGCATGGCATGTGCAGACAGAGCGCATGCGCCACAGCTGGCCGGGTCATGGTGGGAACCGCAGGGCCTTTTCCTGTCAAACGATGTCTAGGGTTGCAGCCTGAGGAGGCTTGGTTCATTCACACAAAACTGAGCTGAGAGAAAAGTTACTGGACGGGCAAGCGCGGACTCTCTCATCAAGCGCTAAAAACAAACTCAATCCCCTTCATAAGCTTTTAAGCCACCCGACATAAATATTTCTTCCTTTTACAAGCATGACATCCCAAGTTACGTAAGTGTGAATATTTTTAACACATATGGACAGGTGTCTTACGCTGGCATCCCGACAAAGTCACATCCATTACAGTGCTTTCATGTATACAGAAATGTCCTTCGAGGCATGCGTCATGGGGGCCCATCCGGACACCAAAAACAAGGGCCTGCACATCCGCAGAGGCCACTGAGTGGCAGCGCTTGCAGTCCAGAACCAGGACTGGGGAGACAAGAAGGCTACCTGCCTTCTCCAGATGTAACTTCCCCAGCAGGGTTGTTGTGAAGGCAAAATGGGAAAGCAGAGCCACCATGTCTACTGCCTCGTGCAATGTGTGAGGAACGGTGGGATTAGCATGTAATAAAAAGGAAATAAATAAAATCAAACACAGGCAGTCATCCAGAAGCTGGCAGGGTATTTTGTCACACAGATCACTGCTTTGCACCTGTGTTCTGCCTATAAGAAAGCTGGCACTGCTGACCATGAATGGTGCGGCTGGTGTAGGACTCAAGTACCTTTGAGGTAAAAGAGAGGTAATGTTCCAGGTGTGGAAGGGTACGATTCTTGCAACCTCAAAAATCTTAAACATCCACTGGGGATGGTTCAGCTCACTGGGACTCTTTCTGTGAGTTACACGGAGCCAGATCACTCTGGGAGCTTTCATTTCCAGGTGCAAGACCATAGTGGCAGGTCCTGCTCAGGTGTGGGCAGTATCAGGTACTGCCCATTTCATTCAACAGGCCCCTGACAATGCCACTGTTGTGGTGTTCCTTGTTTCTGAAGTTTTTCTGTCTCCTCAATCAGAGGGTGGTGCAACCCCAAATGGAAGCCGTTGATGACCTCCCAAGCCGAAGGCAGGCATGGCTCGGACCCCACATGGGCCTTTCCTACCAAAAGTTATGCAGGCCTGTTGGTTTCCCAAATTCAAGATGTGTCTTTAACTTGATTCAATGAAAGACTGAGTGGATCATCAAAGCACCTCACCAGAAAACTTATCTGAAGAGCAAACAGGAAAGCTTCCATCTTGGAAGGAAAATCAAAGAAAGCCGAAGCAACACCCGTCCTTTTAAAACCATGGCACGATGTTGTGCTTCTTCTTAAGTCATCAACAAATGGCAAGAAGAAAGGATGACCTGAAAAAGGCCTTTGTGATTCTCCGCAAACACGAGTGCAGTTCTGTAACTGCCTGAGCGCTTGCCAAGGCCAATGAATAGCCTGGATGCTCCCATTCAGAGATGTGATCAACATTCATTATTTCGCCACAACAGCTATGGTCACAGGACCTATTGTGAACAAAGCTCCTGTTATTACTAGCAGCTGTGACTGGAGGCACACCAGTAAGAATGTGAGCTTTGTGGCAGAGGAAATCGAAAGGAACAGTGCGGGTATATTCTAAAGCCATCACCTGTTCTTAGGGGAGTTCCAAGACCCGTCCTGGACGAAGTTTTGGCACACGCCTTTCAAGCAGGAGGCCTACCTGCTCCTCTCCATCAGTCCAACTTGGATCATTTGGTGGATTGTCTTGCGGCTCAACAGCACCTCTCTTTCTGGCTAGTTCACCAGTCTTATGCAACACCCAAAATTGCTGTCATAAACAACTAAATGGCTCCACATACCAAGTATCTATGCCAAAGGCACAAATCAGTGCTAAGGGTTATGGTGCAGTCCAAGGTCCACATTAGCATCATTAAGAGAGCCAAATGCAGACCACCATGCTCTTTGGCATCAACTTTCTGCTTGCTGGATTTGCAGGGCTACAGTTTGCATCACCAGTTCCCAACCAGCAAGGCCAACATACAGGCGGGCACCCGATTGGGGAAGGCTGATGTCCCCCTTAAATATATTCACGGACATCAATGGAGGCACACGCACCTCAGCTTCCATCCACATCCGGGCTCTACCCGTCATGGTCTACTGACTCCCTGGTGATTTCACTGCCCCAGAAGGTTGTTGCTATGTGCCGTCAGCGTGTCT